TGGCATGAGGTTACAGCAGTGCTGCTGGGGGTGTTTGGCCCCAAACCTGCAGATCAGCTCTAAATTTCCTTTAACCTGGCCAGAGTGCCAGCGGGCCTTCCCTACTTGTGCCTGAGCGGTGTGAAATCCCTGCTGGGGTGAGCAGACCCAGAAGGGGCTGTGCTCCTGGGTCCCACTGAGTGCCCAGGATGCTGAGCAAAGGGGCCCACTAACTCCTAGTGGTGGAACTGAAATGGCACCATGGCCAGGCCCTAGGCTCATGCTGGGTGGCCACGTGTGCAAAAACAAGTCCCCATGGAGCTCTGGAGTCCAGAGACAAGCAGGCCGACCACATCCCAGGCTGTTAAATGGTGGTGGTGGTGACTGCAATTAGTGGGCTTCCTGGAGGTGACGCTTGAGCTGTGCCCCGAATCCGAGCAGCAGGCAGCACTGTAGGTGATGCAAAGGCCATGTTTGCAGTCTGTACGCCACATGCTGGACCAAAGTGTGGGCAAGACCTGGCGTCTTGGGGTCATAGTTTTGGATGGGTAGGGAGTGCCATGAGTTGGCAAGTCACTAATTTTGGGCCTGTCTGGAGCGTCTGATGGAGTTGAGCTCATGCTAGTTCCTTTCAATGCTGCCCACCTGCTGGAGCTCAGGTTACCATCCTGTCCCACCCTGGTGCTCACCCCAAAGCAGGGTTCCCTCTGCACCCTCTGGAGACCTGCCAGCAGCCACAGTTGTGCCTTGTGTGAGAATGCATCCCCTAGTACCACCAGTCCCAGGCTTTATCCAGAACTCTCCACTCACCTAGATGCCAGCAAGTTTTAGGGCTCCCCCAGGGCCCACTTCCAGAGGCCCCGTGCCTGACTCTTTCAGTGCTACCCTAGGAAATCTCCTGAGCCTTAGTTTCCCCACTTGTGAAGCAAAATCAAGCACTCACCTGTGGCCTGCTAGAGGGTCACATGAGGCTTGCCATGTGCTGTTCTGTACCTGGAGATTGCCTGGGGTTGGGAAGGGCTTCCCCCTCATACATCCACCTTGCTTGATTTTTTCCTTAATATTTTTTGTACCAGGGATTGAACTCACAGTCTCACACTTGCTAGGAATGCGCTTATGCCGCTGAGCTAACTTCCCCCTTTTTTGTCTCTGAGACAGGGCCTCACTCTGCAGTTCAGGCTGGTGTTGGGCTCACTTTGTAGCCCAGGTCTCAAACTCACAATGATTTTCTTGCCTCGGCCTCCTGAGTGCTGGGATTATAGGCATGCACCACCATGCCTGGCCTACCTTTCCCTCTGGGACTGTCATAACCCCTGGTCATATTGACACCTTCTCCTATGCCATGAGGCTCACTTCTGTAACTTCTTGGGAAACATCTGAAATTCCACTGGTGGGCAAATTCCACCCTCTGGAAGCCGATGCTGGCCACCTGGCAGCTCATGTGATGGGGGTGGGTGTGCACCAAAGAGGGAGGGCCAGGACTAAGGCATTGTTTCTTTCTTTTTTTTTTTTTTTTGTCTTTTTCATTTTTATCGGTACCAGGGATCAAACTCACGACTGCCTGCTTGCAAGGCAGGTGCTTATGCCGCTGAGCTAAACCCCCAGCCCCTAAGGCATTGTTTCTAGCTGTGCCCCACTATCTTGGGCTCATTCTGGGTGTTCCCCACTTCAAAGAATGGCTGAGAGAGACCAGGCTTAGGGAGTTTGTGAGAGCCTGCTTCACTTCAGCCCCCACTGCCTTTTGGTGGGAATAGTGTGTGAAAGGACAAGGTCTGGGGAAATGCATGGCTTCACTAGGTTTCTCTGTTCAGCACTCTTCCAAACTCTGAGGCTGCAGGGCACGAACAGCTGTCATCTCTCGGATAGTCCCGTTTTGCCCTGGCTGCCAGGAAGCTCACACATTTGTGACAAATGGGATCCTGATTTGTTTTAGCAGCTGTCTGCTTCCTGGTTTTTTCCTGGGCGTGTCTGTAACCTAAAGTCTTTTTTGGAACAAGGCCATGTCTTTTAAAGGTTGGCTTGTTTTTGTTTTTTCTAAGACAGTTTTACTCTGTAGTTCAGGCTGGCCTTGAACTGTGTAGCACAGGATGCTGTAGAACTCACAGTGACCATTCTGTGTCAGCCTCCCAAGTGCTGTGATAAGTGTGTGCTGCCATATTCAGCAAGGTTGGCTTTTGCTACCAACGAACTGGACTATTTGTTGTTCAGGTATTAACTGTGCTCACCTTCATCTCTCCTTCTGCATGTCACCTACTCCAGGTTCTGAGTTGGGGTGGACACAAGGGCCTGGATGCTCTCAGCCTTTCCCATATCTGTAGGTCCCGCTGAGTAGCACCATGTTGCTGGAAGAAAACCATGCCCAAGCCCACAGGGCAGTCATCTGCAGAGCCGGGCTCCTGGGGACACAGTGCCTTTGAGGGCATGGCCCTGGCACTGACTGAGGTGCCAGGGGCCCTGGGGCAGGGAGTAGAGGTCTCCTCACTGGTCCCTGGCCCTCAGTCCAGGCTGCAGTGGCTGGGAAGAGGCAGCACACTGGCAGGACGAGGTCACTGAGAGAGGCCTGTGGTCCTTCGTTGGCACGGGGTCTCCTGTGCCCCTGGCTGCTTGGGTGTTGGCTAGATACTGCTGCCCTGACCTCCCCAGTTTCCTAGGGAGCAGACAAGCAGCAGGCCTGTTTCGTGGTATGCCATGTCTGTCTAGCCAACACTCATGAGGAAGTTGAAGCACACCTCTCTGGTCAAGGGTCCTGCGCTGGCTTCTGGGGCTGCCTGATGTCTTCCCTGGGGGTGAGGCCCTCTGCATGCAGCCTCCATGCCCGAGAGTGCCAGGGCACCGAAGTGGGTCTTTAGGGCCCTTGGCCCTCGACATGCAGGAAGCAAGTAGTTTCCAGGTGACAGCCAGAGACACAGACCTGGGAAGCAATGAGGGGCTCCAGTTTGTTACTCCTATCCTCCAGGCAGGGCTGGAGGGCCTAAGCCAGGGGGGCAGGCTAGAGGTCAGCAGCATTTTGGGGCCCAGCTGCACAGTCTTTACTGTCAGGTGTCTCTAAAGGGACAAGAGTAGCCTAGAGCCAGGACTCTGCTGTCTTTAAGGCACTTGGAGCTTTCTGCCCAGTCTGAATACCCACTACACCGGACCCCAGACAGATTCAGAAGCCCTCAATAGCTGTGTTGATTGCCTGGTCACATTGAATAGCTTTAGTGTGACATTGTTTTATTTCCCTTTGATTAGGGTGTGGGCAGGGAGGCAGTGTGTCTTGCTGCAGAATGGCACAATGGATGTGCGCCCAGTGCCTGGGCCACTCAGAGGAAGCTGGAGAGGGCCAACCCTTGTGCTTGGGATTGCACAGGAAATTAACAGGGTCTGCTGGACCCTAACCCTTAGAGGCTAAGAACTGTAGCTCCAGTGAAAGTCTCCCACAGAAACGCAAGCCCTCTCATCGGGTCAGCGTCCGAGCCGGCCTGCAGTTTTCCCTTTGGGCTGCAACCAGCCAGAAGAAAGAACCAACTGGGTTCTCTGTGCCAGCATGATACCAACTGAAGTCTGCTGGATGAGTGAGTGTGCTCTCCAGAAGATGCTCTTAGGACGTGCACACCACGGATGCCTGCAATTGTCCCATCACTTCGGTCACCAGCACCACAGGAACTTGAAGCTGGGCCCTAAGCCGGTGGAATAGCACACGTGCCCAGGGCAAGCCGAGGCCACCAGATGTTCCTGTAGCTGACACCACCATGTCAATCACCTCGATCCCCTCGTGGTTCAGCCAATAGGTCTCCCTGGCCCCGCCATCCTGGGTTTGGGTCGTGGCTTGTGCACACAGGGGTTTGGGGACAGCCACTGCGGGCGAGGAGGGGGATCCTCTTCCTGCCACCTGCTAGCTCAGCAGTCTCTGCTGCTGGGGGGGGGGGGGCACTAGGGTAGAAGCCGCGTCAGAGCGAAGCCAGCAGCTTCTCTGGTTAATATTGGCACTGACTGGGTGGAACCGAAGGAGAGCCCAGGCTTCCCCTCACCTTGGCCCACTTCTTCCCGGGAGTCCAGGTGTGGGGCTGGCAAGGCTCCAGGGGTCCCTTGCTGTGCCTTTCCCAGGTCGAGGAGACAGGAAGTGAGGGCTTGTCATTCCTGCGCTGTGTGGAGCCCTGACTGCTGCCAGCTGCTCAGGGCTGGGACTGCTGGTCGCATGACTCCTTCTTTAGGAGTGAGATGGCAGTGCCACGCTAAACCCTCAGGGATGTCACTGTGCTCTGACCTGCTGGGCCCTTCTTGCCCTGCCCCTCCCCTGCCACAGGAGCCCGAGCCTCCTGCGAAAGCAGACCCTGGTGGCAGGGGGACCCAACTAGCTGCCTGTCCCTTTTTCAGCTCTTCCCGGCTACTTCCCCCTTTGCAGCCACCTGGTATCACATGGCCCCGAGACAATCTTGCTGGAGGGAGGACAGGGGGCTCGAGGTGGTGGTGGGGTGGCTTCTGAGGAAACACCCCCATCAAGAAATTGGCTCCAGGGGGCTGGGGATTTAGCTCAGCGGCATAAGTACCTGCCTTGCAAGCAGGTGGTCGTGAGTTCGATCCCCGGGACCAATGAAAATGAAAAAAAGAAAAAAATGTAACTAATAAAAGAAATTGGCTCCAGAGTTCTAGGGGGCCCCTGAGCCACCTGAAGCCAGGCTCCTACTGTGGCAGCCCCGATGATGGGGAAGGTGACCCTCCCCCCCATGGTGAGCACCACACACTGGGAGTGTGGGGGGCTGCAGATCATTCAGGGCAGCTGTGCTGCACTTCGCCCTTTCGGGTCTGGGCGATGTGGCAGACTACAGGCTGGGCATACAGCCCTCTGTGTGCTGCCCACAGCAGGGAGGCAGGCAGACTCCGCGAAGCTGGGGCGTGGCCGTCAGCCAGCACGGGTCCCTTACGCTTCAGTGGTGGCCAGGACTGGAGGGGAAGGTGTGCCAGGCTCCCTCCAGGCCTGGCCTGCTCAGCAGCCCGGCACACTCTGGAGAGAAGCCTGGAGCGCCCCCTCTATTTCCTAGAGTTCAAAGCCCAAGCTGCAGGCAGCCTGCTCTAGCATCCAGGAGGTCCGGCGGTGTACACGCCTGGAGATGCCGGACAACCTCCATACCTTCGTGCTCAAGGTGAGTGACGACAGGACTCTGGGGCTCGGGGGCGGGGGACAGCGATACACCCCTCAGGCTAACACATGACCCCTTCCTGCCTTCCAGGTGAAGGACAGGACAGACATCATCTTTGAGGTGGGAGACGAGCAGCAGCTGGATTCTTGGATGGCCGTGCTCTGGGAGTGCACTGGCCAAGGGTGAGGCCCTCCCCGTGCCGCCCCACTGGCCCGCCCTGACCCTCGCTCTGAGGTCCTCAGACCCAGCTTCCTCCCGGCAGGCCAGAGAGTCCAGACATGGAGGCACACTGTCCCTCCGCCCCAGAGCCCAGCACGTCCAGCTCGCCAGGGGGAAGCACAGACTCCCTGAACCAAGGTGAGCCGGGGCCAGGCCCTGGGACTCCAGGCACCCTAGTACTGTGGCACCCACACGGGGTCACCACCTCAACCTCTCTTCTCTGCCAGGTGCTTCTTCTGGAGGTTTGCTAGACCCCACCTGCCAAAAAACAGATCACTTCCTGTCCTGCTACCCCTGGTTCCATGGCCCCATCTCCAGGGTGAAGGCGGCCCAGCTGGTGCAGCTGCAGGGCCCTGACGCGCACGGGGTGTTCCTGGTGCGGCAGAGCGAGTCCCGGCGCGGGGAGTACGTGCTCACCTTCAACTTCCAGGGCAGAGCCAAGGTAGGGCAGGGCGGTGGGCTGTGCCCTCCCTCCCCGGAGCACGGCCAGGGCCACGGCCCGGGGACAGTGGGGACAGTGCGCTTCCTTCACCTCCCGCAGCACCTGCGCCTGCTGCTGACGGAGCGGGGCCAGTGCCGAGTGCAGCACCTGCACTTCCCCTCCGTCCCCGACATGCTGCGCCACTTCCAGCACTCGCCCATCCCGCTCGAGTGTGGGGCTGCCTGCGACGTCCGGCTCTCCAGCTATGTGGTTGTGGTCTCCCAGCCACCAGGTGTGACACAGGCCTTTTGCTAATAACGGGGACTGGCAAAAGGGAGCCACTCGGAGGGTGAGAGCTTGCCGCGGCCACACAGACGTGGTTTTGCGTGCTGCCCGTACTTGCATTGAGACTGATGCAAGATTTCTTGGTCACTTGTCCTAGGTTCCTGCAGTACCGTCCTCTTCCCTTCCTCCCTCCCTCACTGGGACTCAGAGCTGAGCCTTCCCCACCTCGGCTCTTCCGGCTGTCCTCGAGGGCTTGGCCCCGAGGCTCTTCCAGGCCGTTCGTCGCCCCCCGAGCAGATCTTCCACCTGGTGCCTTCGCCTGAGGAGCTGGCCAGCAGCCTGCGGCACCTGGAGCCTGAGCCTGGGAGTCGGGCACGAGACTCAGACTATGACATGGACTCGTCCTCTCGGAGTCACCTGCGGGCCATAGACAACCAGTACACGCCTCTCTGACGGTGGCCCGGCCAGCCCCTGGGAGCACAGGCAGAGCCGTGAACTTGTGAATGTAATGATCTTTCCTACCTTTCAGAGAGAGATTCGGGGCACACTCAGCTGCTCTTTCCGGCTGGATGTGACCCTGCTATTAGGCCTGTTAAAGGGCCTCCTCTAAGTCCCGTCGGCTTTCTCGTTGTTTACAGAAGTGGTTTCTGTCTGCAGATGCCGCCAGCTCACTTGCCCTGGGTCCCTAAGTCCCGGCCCCAGCCCTCTCAGAAGAGGCGGGGTGAGGGCCAGAGCTGGCAGTAGAAACTTGCGCGCTCTCTCACTGACACTGTCACCGCTGATGACAGACTTTGTACTGGGGAAAGGGGGGTCATCAGGAAGCCCAGAACACTAACGTGGTTACCCTGGAGCATCAGGCCCGTGGCGGGTCCCAGCCGCAGGTGGGCACTCCTAACCCCGCTTCTCTCAGCCTTAGGGCAGAAGCTGTCACAGGGGCAGCTGAAGGTCAAAAAGGATTTTAAACATTTTACCTCAGATTAATGTTTTTAAAAGATTCAGGTTTCAAGACTAAATCTTTGCTTACTTCATTGCACTGTTTCAACTCGTACCCGTCTGCAGCCAGGGATCACTATGCAAACCCCACCTGACTCACTGTGCCTGGCAGCCTTGTCCATCCTTGGGACAGTCACCTGCTGCTGAGCGGCCATTGTCTTCCCTGAATACACAGCAGTGAAGTGTGTCACCCTTTCAGGGAAATTTAGGCAACTACTAAAACAGGAAGGTGGCAAGGAACAGTCCTATCCTGGTGCCTTAAGCATAAAAATTTGGACCCTAGTTTACAGCAACTTTACGGAGAATACACACCGCTGGGGAGTGGGCAGGGCGGGCGGAAGGGTAGGAGGCTCCCAGGCCCTTTCCAGGCAGCCCCTCACCCCTTACTCCTTTCACAACCCAGCTCAGAGGCCCCACGTGGCTGTGGCTTATTAAATTACCCTGCAAGCGGGCCTCTGGCTCCTTTTTAAGTCAAAATGGAAGCTAGGGATCTGGTGCCATAGCCAAGGAGAAACTAAGAACCCACAGCCTGTCTTGTCTTAGCGCACGTGTTGCCACACAGGCCCCGTCCAGCCAGGGCCTGAAGGCACGCCTCTATCTATGCTTGCATTTAAAATGACATGACTTACAGAGGGGCCCTCCTGTGGAAGCACAAGAACAGGGCAGGCAGTGACAACAGTCAGCTGCCTTTATGTGCCAACAAGAACCATCTAGTTCAGCCAACCACTGTCCCTGCAGTGGCTTCTAGGATACTGGGAGCATAGCAGAGCTGAGCTTGCATCGCTCAGAACTGCATATGAATCCACAGCCTCTGACCAACCCAGCCTGCCTTCTCAAGGGAAGGCTTGGTCTTTCCAGATACCCTCCGTAAGCCAACGGGTCAGGTTTCTGCTTCGACAGCTTGCTCATCTTCAGAGGGCTCTAGGCCCAGCACAGTGGCACACCCCTGTGATCCCAGCACGTAGGTGGGTGAAGCAGGAAGAGTGCCAAGAGTTCAAGGCCAGCCTGGGTTACATATTAAGTTCAAGGCCTCAACTACATAGAGCAAGATGCTAGCTCAAAAAACCAAGGGGGAGAAACCCAGAGGGCTCTGGAGCCACCTCTGTGCCACTCTGAAGATACCCAGTGTTCTATGGACCATACACCACACCCGACACTTGTCCATGCTTGCTGCCCAGTTCTGAGGATACTTGTTTTTATCCTCTATAAAAGCACCTTTCTCTAGAAAATATTGTCAGTAAGTGTGGCCGGGTGTAGCTTCCCAGCACTTGGGAGGCTAAGGCAAGCGCAACATGAGATCAAGGCCAGCCTGGGCTGCACGGTGAGACCGTGTCTCCAAACCCCTAAAGTAGTGCAGGTTTTTTTTTTTTGGGAAAGAGAAAGGTCATCAGAGAAGGCACTCCTGATGTGAGTCGTCTCGGTTTTCTCCTGTCTGCACAGGAGACAGTGAAGGAAGGACGGCCCCTTGTGCCAGCCAGTTTATTCCTCTTCCAGCTTAGGCTCCAGACCCTCACACAGAGCAGCTCCAGCTCAGTTCATGGTGACGGTGAACTACACCCCATACCACGCCACGCCACGCTGTGCCCCCTCTAAATGTATCCAATTTACCAGAACAGCTCAAGTACATTCTGACAAAAAGACCCCTTATGGCCCTGGGACCAAGTGACACTATGCCAATGCCTTCTCTTTCTGCTGGAGCAGGTCCAGCTGCCTGACGGCCTGGATGCTCTCCAGACAGCCTGTGCCTGGCCCCGCTCAGGGCAGCACATCCCATGCCCCTCCCACCAGGCCCGATGGGACCACTACTGGCAGCTGAGGCCAAGCCAGCAAGCTGCACTCAGAGCAAGGGACAGTGAAGGAGCGGCAGGGTCCTGCCTACTGACAGATCCCAGCTCCCAGCACCCATCCTTTCCTTCTCATCTAACTACTGAACTTTACAAACTAAGTCACCAGCACCAAAGAAGTCAACTAACTTGCCTTGAATTTTAGACCAGCAATCCATGTGGCTTTATCTGGTATAAATCATCTGCCTTTGACACTTCGGGGCCGTGTAGGAAAAAGGAATCCTTTAAGTCCTGGGCCAGAGAACACTATTTTTACATAAGTTTTTTAATCTATTAAGGAAGGCCTTCAACTTTTCCCCAAGGGTTGCCTGAAGTTCCTTCCTGCTTTTTATTCAGGGCTGTCTCTTACCGCAGATGGCACGTCTGAGCTAACATCTTGACAGTAGATCACCCATTGCCTCTCACCAAGGACACCCCTGAGGGCCAGTGGCTGAAGCAGCAGCACGATGTGGTAACACGAACAGCAGATTCAGCTAGTATGACTTGAGGCAGAAGGTATTTGGCAAACTTTTATGTATTGTTTATGTACTGTATTAGTAACTTATTGAATAATGCAAATTTTGCTATAATGTACAAATTGCTATACGTGAATTAAAGTAAGTTTAAAGAACCTTAATTTGTTGCCACCATGTTTGAATGCTCTATTCTATTAGCCTATATTCTCTACAAAATCCATATCTGTGTAATTAACCATGCTTAGGAGCATTAGTGAACTGCTTTTCTATCTGTGTCCCTCAGCCTTACAGCCCTCTGGATCTGTCTGTCTCTGTCAGGCTGGCCTCACAGTTCCCCTTGCCTCAGCCCTCCCAGTGCTGGGATTAGAGCCTTCCAGATTTTTTAATCGTAGTTTTAAAAATAAAGTCTTTTCTGCCCCCTGCTGGTAAAACAGATGAATTGGGACAACCGCTGACCTTTGAAGACAGGAAATGGGAGCTTACAGAATCTGGGCTGTGTGGGGCTGTGGCCATCAGCACTGGCCAGCCTTCCTCCTCCTCATGCCAAGCACTAATCCAGCAAGGATAGCCCAGTCTTGTCTTTCTCTAAAGACATCTTGAACCAGAGCTAAAGCTGACGAAGAAATATCATTTAGCAACTACCTTTCAGGATCCGGAAGCAGCATACACAGCCCACTTGCCCTGACAGTCTCCTACAGCACAAGCAGCTTATACAAACACACATTAACTTATTACCAGTTTTTAAAACTTTTTTTATTTTTTAATTTTTTTTAAGTTTTTATTTTATATTATCTACAAAGTAAAAGTTTTTCCCTTAACTTAAAAGTTGAACCACTGTAGACAGTGATCACTTCATCAAACTTGATTTATAAATAATAACCCGTCAGTTTGACGGTAAGAATTTACTGAACCTTTGTCAAGTTTAGTAAAAGGGTGTTCTAAGTCTTGATTTTTTTTAAGCGATAATAGCAGCAAGAATCACTCTTGTTACTTCTTTTGCTAGCTGATGTGTTCGTGACTTTCAAGGGCCATTAAAAAATAAATAACTTCCAGTTTCAGCAAGCAGAGCTGGGGTACCTGCGGGACTCTGAAACAGCACGTGGAATTATGGAACAGCCCACCAGTTCCTAAACGCCTCTACTCGGTCCGAATATCTTCCACTGCAAGTGAACGGTTAGCATTCCTATTGAATGTTACACGAAATCAACATATATTTTAAAAAACAAAATAAATGTAATTCTAGTTTTCTGTGCTTCCAGTTGGTAGAAGCAGTAGAAGGGAGGAGGGAATTTGGCCTTTCGGTTCCTCCAGGGCAGCCTTACAACTGCTGTTGGTGGTGGGCTTGTACTGTAAAAAAGAAAAGTGCACATTTAAACAGAACACTGGCAACACTGTGCATCAGCCTAGTGTCTCTGCAGCAGACTGAACTACCCTTGGCTAGCTGAACAAGACTCAGTTCAATTCACTGCCCCGCTCCCGTCTGCACCAAGGTGGGGAAGGACGGGGAGGTGAGTGGGTAGAACAAACCAGTCAGACGGAAAACCTCTTCAGATAAAGCTCCCATAAGACTTGATCGGGGAAGGAGAAAAGGCCCTGCCATACCCCCTCCCCAAATAGTAGCCAAGCACCAGCATTGCTTTCAGAGGAACAGGTGAGACTGCGGTACCGCCATGGCAGCCATCCAGTACTGGAGCACCAGCAAGGGCGTCCCCCGTCAGGGTGTAGGCTGAGGCTGACCCTACACTCCAACCAGTCCACATACAGCACCTGCTCATCAGTCTCTTCTCCAAGCTACAAGCAAACTGCCATGGCCATAACCCCCCGCCTGTCAGCCTGTGGGGACTCAGGAAGGAACACACTGCCTGCCCAGCCTGGTGTAACAGAAGGCCAACTGAGCCCTAGGCATGCACCAGCAACCCGAATGCGGCAGCTGCTGCTGTTCATCAAGCCACATCCTGCATACCATCAGAACACACACAGACCGGCTCCCGGAAGCCTCAGGCCCTGACACTGACTGATCATCGAAGTCCCTTCTGGGCAGTCTTGGATGGGTCTTGCTATTTTCGAGCGCAGAGCTTGCAGCGTTGGCCCTGCCTGCCATTCAACCTGTGCAAGCAGAATGCTTGGGGTGCCCCGGCGGCCCCTGCACACACACGCCTCACCTGAAGGGTGCGTCATATAGGGGAAATGCGCTGTTGTCGAGACTGGAATGGGCTGTAGTGCACTTTGAGCGAGGGCGGCCTGGGGACCGCCGGGTGGCTGTGTCGTCATTAGCATCATTGGCGCATGGGCAGTTGGATGAGAAGGAACCATTCCTGACTGTACATGAGCCTGAAACAGAGAGCTCTTTTACGCATACAGGCAACATCTCCAGCTTAAACAACAAGTCAACTGTGTTCCTGTCCTTTCGCTAGGCTGGGCCTCAGGGCCCGTTTCTTTGCTCTGGGGATACTCCCTGGTTCACACCTTTCCGCAGCTGCTGCAGGGCTGGGGAGCAGGCACCAATGGGTAGATATTGGGGGTATAATGTTCTAGTTGCCACCACTGCTCATCACTGAGTTCTATATCCGGGACAGGTGTCAGCAAGGTTAGTCCTGGCCTGAGCATCCTTCTCAGCTTGGACACAACACCACGGTGCTTCAGAACAGGGGCTCCATGTTGAGCCTGAAGATGTTTAACAGAGACATCCCTTTCCAATAGGAAAGCAGAATACTACAAGGATAAGCAGGGACTGTCGGATGCCACCGTTGGGGTCACTTCTTGTTCATACCCCTCTTGCTGATGATGCCTGCTCGGCAGGCAGTAAGATGAAGAAACTCTTGGGTTCCCTTCACTCTGAAGGGTTCGCTGATGGAGCAGGGGAAGAGGCTCAATGCGACGGAAAGAGCAGTCTGAAAGTCTCTGGACCAGGACCAGCCCAGTGCCCCATACCAAGTGACAGCAAGTTCAAGGAGCAAAGGAGATTGTAGCTGACAGCGAGACCCCAGCTCTATGCGGGGCTGGCAGGGCTAGGAAGAACCCTGGTTTCCTGCCTCCCGCACTGTGTCCTCTTTTAAGACTGTGAACTTTGAATGCAACGCAGTATTTGCTCTCCTGTAATCAAATGGCATATTTGGACTTGCTCATATAATAAGCCCTTTTGCCCCTTCTCCACAAAAACACAAAAGTGAGGTTTTCAAGAACCTCAACTTGTATTTCAGTTCACATACCCACATAGCCACCAGCCTCTGTTAGATACCTGTAGGACCCCAACTCATGAAGCTGACTCCATCAAAGCACACTGACCGCACCGGGCCCCTCCCCAGTACAGAGCCGACCGACTACAGCGTGCTGCACTGTGGCCCCTGCCCTCCACAGGGTATGGGTTCCAAACACACCAGCAACTGTGGGCCTCCAGTAACAAGGCGACCTGAGAGAGCTCCAACTCCACTGCATCTCGGCCCATACACCTTGCCAAAGCCTCACAGGCATAGTACTTGACGGGAAACGGAGGCGAGTGAGGTGGGTCTTGCTTAGACCCGCCTAAAAGCCGTGGTATCAAAGTAGCAGAGATAGTAACACAGCCAGTTCACCCTCAAGAGAGCTCCATGGATGGCCTGAGGACAGCACAAGAGTTCACCTCCAGCGGTGTTCTTCACCACGGAAAAAGCCAAACATGTCCCTGGCCTGCACAGGACCTCTGTCACCAGCTGATACAGACGGTACCACACCTTTCTGCCATCCCAGGCTCACCCTGGAGGGTCTCCAGAGACCTCTAGGGTTATACTTTTAACAACAGGACACTGTTGGATGCATCCAACTTCTAGCTCTCTCTCCAGAAGCACAACACACGGCCACAGCAGATGGGGGAGGACCAGGTCCAGCTGTATGGACTGCCCTGTGCCCTGAAACCCATGGGACTGACATTCAGGCTGCCAGGCCTGGAACAGTCACCCCAGGGAGCTGAGACTGATGGTCCCTACCCCTGCCAGTTCCCATGGGCGTGTGGAATAAGTGTGTGTGTGTATATGTATATGGTGACATATATATAGGAGGGAAGCTATAGACGGAGCAAAGCAGACACAAAAAGGAAAGGAGGACTGGGGTGCATTCCAGAGTCGAAGATGCTTTTAAGGTCTCAGCTGGAAAACATTAAAGCACTAACTGATAGGCAGTTTTACCAATCCCATTACAAAATCACACCAACATTCACTGAGGGCCAGATCACAGGTGTACTGAGCGGGGAAGGGAGACAGGCAATGGCACCACACACGGGGGTCCTGGCCTGGAGAGCGGCTGGCTCTTTGCTGCTTATGACAACCACCATGTCTTTCTCACTCCTCAGAGAAGTGGCTACGCTGATTACCTGAGGTACATGGGCCATGTGGGGCGGGTTGGTGTATGCTGGCTGAACATGAGAAGGATGAATTGTGAAGACGGTCTGCTGTGCTGCTGGGAAACTATTCTGTGGCGACTGCGTATTGGAGGCAGGCGTCATGGAAGGTGGGGTCGGCGCAAGCCCTGCGTGATAAATGGCTGACTGCTGCTGTGGACTGGCCAGGTGGAGCGCCGGGGCGGCTTGGTGCTGATGGTGCTGCAAAGCATCAGGAAGATTTAGAAAGAGACTTATTCCCATCCGAAAAGGTAAAACAAGACCATGGACTTAGGGAATTGAAATATGTCCAAAAACCAAACAAAATACCTCTTACTACTTCGTGAACCAACATGGTTACAGACATTAATAAAACAAATGAAATCCCTTATTATATAAGCTTTAGGAATGAAATTAAAGTCCCAACCAAGTAAGAATTTGCTTCATGTTAAATCATGAACTTTACATTAAATTCGATCTTTTAGCCAGGCATCATGGTGCACACCTATAAAATCTCAGCACTTAGGGAAGTTGAGGCAGAAGGGGAATTGTATCTTCAAGGTCAGCTTGGGTAACTTAGGGATACAGCAAGACTGTCTCAGAATAAAAAGGGCTGGAGATAAAGCTCAGTGTGGAGGCCTTGCCTTAACTGCCAGTAGCACCTCTTGGAGCTTTCGTCAGCAGCAAGTTTCCAGAGCTTATGCAATGCCTTTGCTCTCAATTGTGAACTTTAAAATTTTATTTCCTGCAGTACTGAGGATTAAACTCACGGAAACTACCACTGACCTATATCCTCAGCCCTGTTTATGTGGAGACAGGGTCTTGATAAATTGCCTAAGCTGGTCTCAAACTTGTGATCTTCCTGCTTCAGCCTCCCAAGTAGCTAGGATTACAGGGGTGGAACACCACACCCAGCCTTAATGTCATTTTAAAAAGCCCCTAATTCCTACCCTAGAGCAGCACTGCCGGTTGCATGCAGGTGACCATACTATGTGTTCTGATCATACAACGCCTGGCACCTTGCCTGGAACTGAGAAACACTCAGTGACTAGAACAAGGCAGCAAAGCCACGCAGCCTAGGTTCCTCCTTACCTGAACAGGACTGGGTGCAGGATGACTTCCACCATGCTGGCTCTGCTGCTGTCCAGTGGGGGTAGCTGAAGGCTGAGGATGTGGAGTATGTGGGTGCAGGGTAGCATTAGGGTGTGCGTACTGCTGAGCGAGGGAGCCCGTGGAAACTGAAGTAAAAGGAAAAGCAGCGTGTACAACTGACATGTTGAGGACCAGCATCACTCCTCTATCCCTCGGCAACTGGGGTTTCCTGAAGGCTTCCATCTGGGATACATGCCACTACCAGCCTCTGACCATTCAAACCACCATGGTCTTAAATGTAAAGTTATTCCCTAACAATCAGACTAGCATTCGATTTGTATAATACAGCTATATATGTTATGTTTGAATTTAGTCTTCTTGTCACTAGGTTTTCTGTGAAGTTTAGTCAAAAACAGCTTAAGCAACCACACTTCTGTGCACAAAGTTACACTGTCTCTTTCCCCCCAAAGCTCGCCATCCCTCTCCACCCTCCGCAAGGCCATTACCAGCTACCCTCACCATGCTACTGCCCTGGAGCGGTGCAGTGTCATGGGGCTGACAGGGGCTGTGTCAGAAATGTGACATGGTGAGGACAAACAACCACATCTGTGTAAATCATAGAAGGGACTCTGTCATGTAGTTTGTTCTCCGGGGGCCTACCAAGGATTTCTCACCTTTGTTTTTTAGAAAATCTAGAAGCTGAAATTACCTGTATTATGTCAAAAAAAAAAAAAAAAAATGAACTTCCTCAAAGCACTCCAATCCCTTTAAAAGGAATTTTATTAGAGGTATGTCAAAGGAAATATGATGGACCTGCTAAAGGTAAGTGGTCATTAAAGATAACTCAGAGCCAATTCTCAGCATAGGCCATACAAAAGAGGACAGGTACAAACTCATCTATCCATGTCTTCCCAAAACAGCAATTAGAGAAAAGAACATGGCAACATATCTCCCCTCAAGGGGGCAGTGAGCAGACCAGAGTACTCTCAAGCCATAGCTCCAACAGCAACTGACTCCCAGCTCTCTTCCAAGAAATGAATCCTGCAACCCCTTAGAAACTAATCCCACATACAGAAATGATGCCCAAAATAGTTCTTCACATTCGTCACTTAACATGTTAGCAAACAGAGACAGGTGAGAAGCAAGCACACATAGGAACCAGGCATCTGCGGCTGCAGAGGCAGCACCACGGATGCCTGCTGTGCCCCACAGCAATGAGATGGGGGGGGGGGTCAGGCAAGTGAAGCTGTCCTCCAATACCTAATGCTGCAGGGCTGAGGGCAACCACAGCCCCAGCCAGCATTTTGTCTCCAGCTGCAAATGTGTGTCTTAGAAAAGGGAGGGCAAGGCAAAGCGCCAGTGCTAGGATCACCTGTGCATCCACTGCTAATGCCACGGCTGGCATTTCTGTTAATGTGCACTTCAGAACAAATAAAGTTCTGTTTGTACTCTGGAAAAGTTTTCCAGACTGCAAGGATTACGTACATTAGAACATTTTAAACAAATTATAGCAACCTCCCTCTGAACTTTTTAAAGAGTTACTGTTGTTTTTCAGGAGGTAAGACGTGCCCCATGTGTCTGTGCAAGAGGTCTCTTCCTTCATACTTACTCAGCTTACTTTTAGTTCCCCCAAACTGTTTAGGCAATGATTTGATGAAAGACCTGACATAAATTTGGAACCTGACTTTATTGTTAAAAAAAAAAAAAATAATCCCAACATACATTTAAAATTTTTATTTTGGGGTAATTAAAATGGTCACACATAGCTACTAGATTGGACAGCATAATCCCATTATCATAAAAAAATTCTGCTAGTGATGTCTAGTCATTTAAAAACCACTACTAACATTAAAATTACATCAAGTGCCTGCTTAGCAAGCGTGAGGTTGTGAGTTTGATCCCTACACCAAAATAAGTACATAAATAAACCACATTGCCTAGCCTTTTTTTTTCCTTTTAAATAAACAGGGTTTCATAGTGTAGTTCAGACTGACACTGACTTCACGGTGAACCTCCTGCCTCAGCCTTCTGAGTGCTGCAATCACAGGTGTGTACCACCATACCCAGCCCTGCAAGCTTCTTCAATATTTCATTTGTATCAATACTAAATCTGAGGGAAAGCAACTCCAAAATTCCATTTATGGATTTTCTTAACAGCATAGAATTTCAAATATTTAAGTGTTTAAAACTATATTCAGGAAATTTTATACTGGAAAGTTTTAAATTTCGCTTTTAGTTACTTTGTAAGCAAAGTATTAAGAATATTAAAAAGTAACAATAAACTTAAAAATAGGGCTGGAGACACAGCTCCGTGACAAAGAGTGCCTGTCTAGCATGTGTGCAGTCCTGGATTTGATCTCTAGCACTGCAAAGCAATAAATTCAATGAGTGCTATTATTATTTTGTACATAACACATGGCCACCACAGAAAATGATTACGTCCATGAAGGTATTTTTTTGAGACAGGGTTTCACTATGTAGTTCAGACTGGCCTTGAACGTCCAGTGATCCTTCTGCCTCAGCCTCCTATGTGCTGGGATTACAGGCGTGAGCCACCACACCTGGCCCATGAAATTTTAAAGTATTCATCACCTGGAAAAATGTAACTTACTGAAATTATGTGAAAGGAAATTAAACACCAAATATTTTGTTATGAATTCTTAAACTTGTGTTGCTGGAGGCCTTACTTAGCCTAAGTATATGTTCTATCCCTTAGCTATAGCCCTAGCTCATTTATTTCCTAGAGATGGGGTCTTAACTAGGTTGCCCAGGGTGGCCCCAAGCCTCACAGCTCAAGCAATCCTCCTCCCTCGGCCTTCTCAGTAGTTGATAGTACAGGCTCAGTAGCACCATCCCTTGTTTCCACTATACATTACAACAGAAAACAAAGGGCAACCCACTTTTAGGCTCCCTTCTGTCTCTCAGGAGCTCTCTCAATAAATTTTCCTACTCTTGGGCCAGGGATTTAGCTCACTGGCATAAGCACTTGCCTGGAAAGTGCAAGGTTGTGAGTTCAATCCCCGGTACCACAAAAATATTAATTTTCCTCCTCTTAAAAAAGGAAACAAACAAAACCTAACCAAAACTCATCTCCTCTCTACCTAAACACCAAGTAAACTACAAGGTATTTGAAAAACAAAAAACAAGATGTAATTTATACATCATAAACTACAAATAAAATTTTAAGGTTTAATTAGAAATATTTTTCTGTGTTCATATTTTAACGTAAATGATCTTAAAACAAGTACTACACAGAGAAATTTTTCTACTTTGAATAGAAAAATGAGTGGGGAAAATACAAAACTTGTATTTTAATTCAACACTCTGAACAAAAATATAGGCTGTTTCTTTGAAAGGCCAGTTAGAACTGATACAAGGGGGCAGGAGAGAAAAAAACGAGAAAAAAAAAAACATCTGAAAACAGAGACATGGGAAAGGAACCAGACAGACTAGTAAACAAGGAAAGAAATATGGCAAATCTGGGGAGAGAGATGAGCGCACAGAACAGTAAATGAATTAACTGTTTAACTGTTCCTCTTTTTTTGGACACAGGGTCTCACTGCGTAGCCCCGGCTGGCCATGAACTCACAGTCATCCTCCTGCCTTGCCTGCCGAGTGCAGGGGTTACAGGTATGTGCCACCATGCTGTTTTATCTGCTAATTTTAACTAAGAGAGATTAAAAATAAAGTGAGTTTTCTTTGAAATTCCAACGTAGCTGCTTAACAGTTAACTATCTATTTATAAAACTTAGCTCTCCACGTCTCAAAAAATCCTTTTTGTGCAAGTAGTATTGCTCTGGGCCAGAACTGGTCTGGAAGCTTCTCATTTAACATAAGTACTTGCGTCTTTAAAATTAGCATAAATATTTAAAATTGTCAACATACCATTAGTCAAATCCTTACAATATTAACTATATTCCCAGTTTCCAGAAGCCATGACCTTAACTGAAGAAACTGAGTCCATAAGGCTGTCGTGCTTAATCTGTCATTGTGACCTTGGATGCATAGGATGCACAAGTAACAAGAGATCACCAGCACGCAAAAGTTTAAAAAATTAAAGAAAAACTTTCAACTTTTAAATGCGATGTTAAGTTCTGAAAAAGAGGTGTGAACAAAAGCTGAAAACTCTATGAGAAAAAAAGGCAACTTGACCAAACCCTGCAAAAAGGCTGAGTAAAGGGGAAATGAAGCAGCAAATTAAATTACAAACAGCAGCCCATAGTTTCTTTTCCCAGGTACAAATGATTCTTTTCTGGGGAAGCTGTGCTGAGGCAACTAATGCTTAGGTGTGATAATTAAGGATAGCTTAGCTACTTACCAGGACAATGGTTCCATAGCCACTAACAGAGACAGTAAGATGGTGAGGATAACTACGTTTGAGACCTCAAAACTATGCACATAAGAAAGTTAACCACTGGTACTGTCTTTTACACACTATACCCACAGACACGCTTTCCTTTTAATAGCATATGCATACAGCAAGACTCCTTTTTAAAGAGCATCTATTAAAGGATTAAATTATTTAAAATTTCCTAGCACCAAGTAAATAAGTACTTATTAACTTATTTTTGGATACCAAGTCATGGCACAATCAATGAAACTGTAAGGTTAAAATGCTTTCTCAATGCTAAATATAGCGCTTAACAGAGCTAGATAATGAGTTATTTCCAAAGAATTCAAAATCTGGTCCCTGAACAGGGATGTTAGTTCTTAATATCTTCTAGAATGCAGTATCTCACATGAAGTGACACACATCAACTATATAAATCCGTAATGAATTCCTACTAACAAGCATCTTCCTTGTCCCAAAACCAAAGTCCATGACTTGCCTTATGTAAAAAACTGCCCTAGAAATAAGGAGACCCATTTGTTCATTTCTGAAATGAAGCTTGGCCAGACTTTCTCCACTTAGGAGGAACCATTCCTTTTTCAGTGTGTGCAGAAGACCTAGGAGGCACCAGAGCCAGTCTCTGGATGGAATGTCTTCCTGCTGAATGAAGCTCATGGCACATCCTGAATGCATCTTAGTATTATAAACCTTTTTCTTTGAATAATGGAGATTGAACACAGGGCCTTATGCATGCTGGCTAAGTGACCTACCACTGAACTACATCCCTAATGCTTCTGGTTTTATGTTGAGGCATGGTGTCACTAAGCATTAAAACAGGCTGGCCTGGAATGTGTACTTCTGCCTCCTAATCCCTAGTAGTGGAGATTTCAGTCATATCCAGCTCACACTAAACCATTCTTTTATCAAACACTGAAATGACGAAATGTTTCCCCCCTATTATCTTGTCAACCCTCTCCCTATTAAAAATCCCATTGAGGCTAATTTTTTTTTTTTTTACTAAGAAAACTAATGTGTTAAGTTTCATATACCTAATCTTATAACTTGATATAAAAATTACTAGCTGTTCAGGAAAAGTTACCCTGAATAAGAAAAATATTAGGCCTTTCCAAATAGTTATGTGTTTGCTTGGTATGCAAAAATTAATTTCTGAAACAACTTGATTTTTCATTAACTCCAGCTTTCTTAAGCTGGGTCATATGTCCTTTTTCAAAACTGCATTATTTACAGATACACATACTTTTAATGATTTTGTCTGGCACAAGGAAAATATTGTTCAACAAGTTTGCTCCCTTAACATGTATTCTTTAAAAAGTGCTTTACTGTATAATAAAATTAGTATAAAAAACCCAACTCACTGGCAAAGTAGAAAGAAGGGCTTGTCTCCTTGTTGTATGGTAATTTGGGACATGCTGAATTTGGGAAATAGAAAGGTGAATTAGCCTTCTGAGGTGCATTTTCCTAGTTTTCTGGAAAGGTCAACATATATAGTAATCTTTTTGTATTCATGCATAATCCATTTTTATTTTACAAGAGATGACAAGCACTTTCAACACTGCTACAGAATTTTGAAAGGACTGAACCAGAAGACACTTTTCTTTTGTACTGCGAGGTCAAGTTCTGCAGGTTGACTTGCTTAAATGAAAAGAATAAAATCATTACCTGATGTGAAATCATCTGGTAAAAAAGACCAACATAACATTCCACTGAACAACCTTAATATAAATAATTGCCCAAGTAAAACAATATTTAGCAAATTCAAGTCACACATGATTTTGCAAAACAGAAATGTCCAAATTATAGGCATCTGGCAGCAGATCCAAAAGTTGAAGAACACAATAATAAAAACATGAGTTCGTTCTCTCTTCTTGGTAAAACATCTACATAGAGGGGATGCTGTTTATGTACATATGTGCCCCAGGAAGGATACTCTCCAAAGTTATCAGATGGCTGTCAGATGGGGGCTAATGTTGCTTTATATTTCTTTTTACTTATGGTACTTTTTAACTTATCTGCATCAAACTACTAAAAACAAATCAAAAAAAGATTCTACATGTAACTATTCCAGATGGCTCTAGTTAGTAGGGAAAAAAGGCTTTATTATTACTGTTTCTGAAAGGTGAGACCATCTCCATGAAACCAACTGAGACAAATTAGAAATTATACGTGAAGCAAAACAATGTTCACCTAACTTCTGAGGAGGACAGAGGCAATGAGGCAAGTCAGGCTGAAGTCAAAAGAGGCGTACTTTGTAAAAACAGTCTTTTCAAAACTAGTTAGAAAGATTACAAACTCAAAAGTAACTTAAAACGTATGCATCTCTTATTCTAGCAACTTACATGTTTTTTGTAACCTGTTAGTATATTTATATTAAATATATCAAAATGTTTTTTAAAAGTCATTTTCCAGTCCTTTGTATTTTCAAAGGCTTTTGATCTGACCAGAAGCATTAATGAATGACAAAATGGTGACATAAGATTATTACCAACCTTTGGATACATACTTATTTTGCATTAGAAAGAATTTTAAATCTACATATGATGTAGCTTAAAAATAATTCAAGTATTTGATTCTTTGGGGAATATATATATTGTTCACGAGAAATATATAAAATTAGCATTTCCATTCAAAAGTTTTGTCTTGTACCTTCCACTAATAAGCATTCTCCCTATTCCAAAACCAAAGTCCATGACCTCCCTTGTTTTAAAAATTGCCCTATAAATAAGGAGATTCATTTGTTCATTTCTGAAATGAAGCTTGGCCAGACATTCTCCATTTAGGAGGAACCATTTATTTTTTCAGCATGTACAGAACCAGCCTCTGGAGGGAATATTTTCCTGCTGGATGAAGCTTGTGACACAACATGAATATGTCTACTATAATATCTTAGTATTATAAATCAACTTTATTTTTTTGAGTAATATCGAGACTGACCACGACCTCACACATGCTGGCTAAGTGTCCTATCATTGATCTCCCTTGTATATAAAATGTTCTGTTTGAATTTGGCGTAAAGTTTTAAAAGATCTAAGATAATTCAAATAAATTACTGACAATAACAAAGAATCTGTTTTAGATTAAATTATGGTTTATGATGGTAAAGAACAAAACACAGTAAAACCTTGGATTGCAAGGAACTTGTTCTGAGAGTGTCCTGCAAGACAAGCAAACTCTTTCTTTCCTTTTCTTCTTTTTTTTTTTTAATCTTTTGAGACAGGGTCTCACTACGCAATTCGGGCTGGCCTTGAGCTCACTTTGTAGCCCAGGCTGGTCTCAAACTCACAACGATCCTCCTGCCTCAGCCTCCCAAGTACTGGGATTATAGGTGTAAGTCACCATGCCCAGCAAGCAAACCACTTCTAATAAATTTAAGCTTCATAAAAAGAACAAGGTCTCAAGATGCCAATAGAGGAGAAGAAAAAGGTGAAAGGTGAAGGAAGCCCTTCCTTCAAATGAGATTAGAGACGTGTGAAATGTGGCAAACAGTACAAAACTTGGTAGAAAAGTACCATCTGAGTAAGGCTATACATCACACTGCAAGTAACAGAGTATCTTTAACGACAATGCAGTGTCACATTTTTGTGAAATCCTCAAAACAAGGCGAAAGCAAGTGTGGTTGGGTGGTTTCTTGTTAGAAAAGCTGTGTGAAAAGAAAGATTTTATTGAGCCAAAAGATAGTAATAATTCTATCAGTGAAAGTGAAAGCTGTCTTACACAATAACCCTCCTTTTTTCTCTTGTCTTCCACTAGTCACAGAGGTTTTCAAAGTTAAGTGTGGGTTAATTTATTTTTCTTTACATTTTATCATTTTGTATTACAGCACTGGAATCATCTTTATATGAGTATTTCTGGGGTACAGAACGAATCATCTGAGTTTTCATTATTTTTTATAGGGAAAGTCACTCTGATGTACAAGTGCTGTGGGTTACAAGCCTGTTTTCAGAATGATGCTTGCAAAGCGAAGTTTTACTGAATTCACATTCTAGTGTTCTTTTTAAGATCTGAAATACCCAAAAGAGAATCCTGACCAACTAGCAATGAGTGCACAGTTTTAGCCCTAGTATAACTAGCCCCTCCAAAGAGAGGATTTAAATGCAACTTGTATAATGTGTAGAAGAATTAACTCTGGTTTTGTTGATCACCTTTCTCCTGGCATGAAAGAACTGGCTTTGATCAGTTCATTCCAGATTACTCTACAAGTTACCATCACAGTTTTTCTTGCAATACATTTCTTTTCTTTCTTTTTTTTTTTTTTTTTTTTTTGCCTTTTTCCTTTTTTATCGGTACTAGGGAATAAACTCACGACTGCCTGCTTGCAAGGCAGGCGCTTATGCCGCTGAGCTAAATCCCCAGCCCCTGCAATACATTTCTTACCTCCTCATTCATGAATGAATGGTCAAATGCTTTTCAGATGAAAATGTTCTGGGATGCTAAAAAATCTCAAGTTCCTCGAATACAGCATATATTATGCAGACTGTTTCAAATAGCTTTTTATGTGAGATGAATACACACTTCTCAGATGAAGAAATACAAACAACAAACAAATATATGAAAAAATGTTCAATACTGCTGGTCATTTGAGAGCTACAAATTAAAACACTGAGATTCTTTCTCACCCCAGAAAGAATGGCTGTCATCAAGAAAGCAACCAGTAACCAAGGCTAGAGAGGCTATGGAGAAAAGGGAACCATTCTCCACTGTGATGGGAGTGTAGACTGGTACAAACACTGTAGAAATCAGTGTGGAGATTTCTCAAAAACGAGGATTGGAGGTCCCACTGAACCCAGCTATTCACCTTCTGGGTATCTTCTCAAAAGAATTAAAAACATGGCACCATAGTGATATATGTGCACCCATATTTATAGCAGCATAATTTGTAATAGCTAAATCCTGGCAACAACTCTCAATGCCCATTGACTAGGGAATGGATTAAAAAAAGAAATGGCGCTTTTATACAATGGAGAACTACTTAGCCATAAAGAAAGATCAATTGGATGGAGACTTTTAAGGTAAATGGATGCAACTTGAGACCCTACTCATAAGTGAAATAAATCAGACACATGTAAAATATCGTGTTGTCTCACAAATGTGGGAAGCTGAAAGAAACAATATTATATATATGTATGTGTATATGTATATATTAAAGATAGATAAAAAGATAAAGATAGCTATAAAAAAATGAGTGGCCCTTCACCCAGAGACAAAGCTACACACTGGCAATGAGTGTGCACATGGAGCAGCAAGATTCTGCGTAACATCGCAGCCCTACTTCAAAGCTGAAGAACACAAGTACACAGACACGGGTCTAGAAGCAATGGAAGCCAGACATGGTGGCGCACACCTGTTAATCCCAGCACGTGAGCAGGACAAAGGGGTGCTGAGGCAAGAGGACGGCGGAGAGTTCAAGCCAGCTTGGGCTATGTAATGAGTTCAAAATTAGCCTAAATTACATAGGCAAGATCCTGTTTCAAAAAAAGCAACGGAAATTTCAGCTCAAAGTTTTAGATTTTATTCCCGAGGGGAGTGAGCCAAAAAAAAAGGTTTTTCCACTTGATAAAAAATGTGGCATTTACCAGAAATAACTATCATAATGAATTTTTCACCTAAAGTTTCTGCAAACTGGAAAACCGGCAAAATGTTTATCAGGTGCATGAAAGTCAGTATGAAGAACCAGCACTGCATTTTCACATACGTACTTAAGTCCTGGTTAAGACAATTAACACAAGCTCAATGACAGATTATAACGGAAATAATAAACCAAATCAGTCTCTGTCACTGTATTTTTTAGTCAAATTACTAATGGGCTTCTTGAAAGAAATGTTTTCTAAAATACAGCAAATATAAATTTAAAATGTCTAATTTATAACAAAATGCTTAAGATCAAATATCAGCATTTTATAAATATAAATGCCTTTATTTTATTTTGTATCTAAAAATTTTTTTGTTGTTTTTTTTGAGACAGGGTCTAGTTCAGGCTGGCTTTGAACTACCCTCCTGCTTCAGCCACCATATTAAAGGCCTGCGCCGCCACACTTAAGTTTGTAAATGCCTTTAATTTCGCACCATTAGTAAACCCCGTAACAGAAGCAAGCCTCCAGGAAGAAAGCATACAGTGCGACTGGAGATGCAAGGAAGGGCGACTCCTTCTGTGAACGCTAATCATAATAGCCTACATAATGTTAAGATTGCCAGTTATTTTTATTTTTGTTTAAAAAAGTTAAAGTGGGCATCTCTTTATGTTTCCTATGCTGTCCTCAAATGTGTAATCCTCCTGCCTCAGGATCTCAAACTGCTGGGGATGAGAGGGGTCCACCAGTATACCAGCCTGTTGTTTAAAAGGAGAATGTGTAAAAGTTATAAAAAGCAGTGCATCTGAAGGATGGATAGGGTGTGTTTGCCAGAAATCCGTAAATTCCATTTTTTTGGGGTGTGATCATTCAAAATATCAAAAGGACTTTTTGTTTTGTTTTTTTAAACTGGGTGTGGTAGTGCATGTATAATCCCAGTACTCTACAGGCCGAGGCAGGAGGATCACTGTGAGTTCAAGGCCAACCTGAACTACGTAGTGAGACCCTGTCTCAAAAAAACTGAAAGAACAAAAGCCAATTTTTTTTTTTTTTTTAACAGAGTTGGGCATGTTTCTCAGTGGTAGAGTGGCTGCCTGGCATGTGCAAAGGCCTAGGCTCAATCTCCAACACCATATACATTTAAAAAGATATGAAATGCTACATTCTCAGTCATTCGAAAAGTTAAAGGAGGTTTAAGAAACCACCTCACATAGCTGCATATAATTATAATTTTATTCTCATAGCAGTGTATTTTTTTTTTTTTTTTAAGACAGGGTCTCAGTATGTAGTTTTGCCTGGCCTTGAAGTATGTATATAGCCCAGGAGCCTTAGAACTCCCAGTGATTTTCCTGCTTCAGCCTTTCAAGTGCCAGGGTTACAAGCACACATTGCCATACCTAGCTAACAGTACACTTTTCAATTATATGAAGAAACTAAATTTATCTTCTACATCCAAAATATTTAAATGCCAATGGGCAAACAAATGACAATACAGCAATTCTTAGAACTATTAAGAACAAAACTAACATTGTAATCTAGTAGTAATTAAAGATGCATTTTGAAAAACATAATATGAGGTTATCCATCGATCCTATAGAACATACAATAAGAAACTTTATTTTAAATTCTCAACACCAAAAAATATATTTTAGAATTTTAGACAGATGCTAAGTTAATCTACATAAAATTCACTGACCACAAAATTGAGATGAAGAATTTTTAAAAATTATTCTTCTACATTAATTTTAGATAAAATACTTCTCACTCCTCCCTTTGTCCCCTCTACCACCTTTCCCCCGCACTGTGGCAGGTTCTCACTATGTACTCCAGGCTGGCCCTGAACTCACCATACAGGAGCTGGCTTCAAACTCCTGGCAATACTCCTGCCCCTGCGGCCTGAGTGCTGGCTTTACAAGTGTGTGCCACCATGCCCAGCCTACTAATTTATACTGGTTACATATAAAGTGTGAATCATGTCTAAAATAGATCTAATGTTACACAATTTTGACTTTACAATAAAGCATGATGCAGAAACACAGTATCATAATAGACTAACACAAAGTATGTAACACCAGTGATCCCAGAGCAAGGAGTGCAGCAATGTGTTTTCGTGCCAGAGAATGCATTTCTACTTTCACTGTGTGCCTTCGGCAGGCTATCCTGACAAGGATAAGGAAGAAGCAGTCTTTCACCAAAAATGATGCTTTGCTGTTACATGCATCACTGTATTTTAGCTAAAGTAAGAACAGGTATCAAAGAAGTATTTGCCAAGATTTACATAGCAGGTCAGAGGCAGATATAGGTTCATCTTTTCCTTTAGATTCTTGACCCTTAAAGTCATCAAAGGACAGGTTATTCTAAAGTACCTTTTAGGGTTCTAAAACAAATTAAGAATAGTCAGGCACACTGGAAAAGACAGACAAAGTGCTTCCTACCATACATGGCATGCGTCTGCTCATGAGCGCCGTACTGAGTTGCTGATGAAGACACCAAGGCGGGCTGGGCGTGTGCTGGCGGCGCCATCATTCTAGCATTCCCCTGTATCACAGGACTGTAGACATGGGGGTGCTGTGTTCAAGTGAAAAGACAAAAGGAAAAATCACTGAAACATAAAAAATGGCCCTGCTGGGGCTGGGGATTTAGCTCAGTGGCGTAAGCGCCTGCCTTGCAAGCAGGCAGTCGTGAGTTCGATCCCCGGTACCGATAAAAAAATGAAAAAGACAAAAAAAAAGAGCCCAGGAGTGCAAGCGTAACAATTCCTTGCACTTTGGCAGCGCTGGCTGGCTTGTCCCCACCCTACCAAAAAAAAAAAGAAAACCAAACAAAACAAAAAAAAACCTTTCCTGGCTGTTTCTTTTGAAATTTTCACACTGAAATATGTATTTAAAAGGTTAAGCCACCATTAACACAAAGCAAGAAATATAAAGGGAAATCCCTTAATTAAGAGTGAGTTAAACTAAAGGTTCTTAAAATGGGCTAAAATTAAGAAGCCACCTGAGCCTTACCTGAGACTGATAGTGCGGCACATGCTGGACCAGCGGCTGATTTGGGAACTGCTGAGGACTGTAGGCCACATACTGAGTGGAGTACGCTGGGGGCGTGGCTACGATGGGCGGGCCTGCTGCTGAAGCGGGGTGCATCATGGTGCTCTGATGGTGCTGGTCTTGCCGCTGCTGGGGCATATTTGGTACTGCAGGGGAAGACCAAGACTTACTGACATGAATCAGCACCTCCCGAGTGACACATATGTCAATGTACTACATACATACATGACAGAGGCTCTGTATGACTTGACTCTTCGCACTTGCCTCATTTCATTTGGTTTACTTTGTCTCAGTGGTACTGGGGACGGAACCCAGGACCATCACACTGAGCTACATCCTCCTGCCCCTTTTTAAAATTTTGAGACAGAATCTTGCTAAACTGCCCAGGCTAGGTTTGATTTTGCCATCTTCCTGCCTCAGCCTCTCCAAGTGTTGAGATTACAGGTGGGCCCTACAATGCTGTTTTATGCCACTCCCACCACCACTTCAGATGCTATGGACTATTTTTCTACCATGTGTACTCACTTAACCCTCAAATACCAGCTCCTAACTCAAACCTGCGAAGATCAAAGGAAAAGAAAAGAAAAGAAAAGAAAAACCTTGAACGACTGTGACTCATCCTGCAGGTATCAGTTTAAAACCATCTTGTCAGAAAGACCCTCAGACACAGTTAAGAACTTAGAACAGACATCCACAGCACTCTCAATGACTTCTTCTCCCTTCTCAGATGCCCCTTTTTTACATTTTATCTCCATTATGGCAGCATCTTGGGGGTTGGCAGACCTTTACTGTCTGGTATAAAAATTAAGCACTGGTTGGAAATGGGACTGGATACATTAAGAGAAAAACAAAAGCATGCCAAGAGCCAAACAGATCCTACACCAAATACTGGATCCTCAACATCTCACTCCCCCTAAAAACCAGAATCACATAGCATCATTTAGCAACTGGCAGGTTTATAAATGGTAACTCTTTAAAAAATCCCTTTCTGACTTGCATTATTCCATGCTTTTTCCCCTATTAAATAAAGCTCTAGTTAAGACTACAGCTTGACTGGCATCACCTCAATGGAGTCTTTCCAGTCTTCCCAAGCACTAGCTTCAGCCTGAATGTCTTTCCCTCCATATCCACACGGCATCTGTGCTCGCCTGAGATCTATTTCTACTGTGGTGCTCATAAGACACTTGAGAAATTGTGTGACCACTGTCTTCAAAGTAAGAGGTATGAGGAACACTGTATATAGCTGGCATGGTGGTATACATTTGTAATCCCAGCACTTGGGAGGCTGAAGCAAGAGGATCACTACAAGTTCAAGGCCAACCTCAGCTACATAGGGAATTTTAATGCCAGCCTGAACTCATAGCAAGACTCTGTTGCAAAAAGTAAAGCAAAACAAAAAGCAGGATACTGTATATAACTTGGTATGTTCATAAAATCAGAACTGATCACACAGGTAACTGCAAATTTCCTTTTGTTTTTTGACAAGGTCTTGCTATGTAGTTCAGACTGGTTCTGCACTATGTAACCCAGGCTGGCCTTGAATTTGAGGCTATTTTCCTGTATTCATCCCCCAAGAGCTCAGATTATACACATTACCATGCCTGGCAAACACAAGATCCTGAGTTTGATTCCCAGTACAGCCACTCTCCCCGACAAAAAAACCCCAAGCAAATGAGGTTTTTAGTTGCCTTTTTGTATATAAATTATATCTCAAGGTAGACAAATAGTTTGATCATATGAAGTTTTTACAGAAATGTTCCATCTAACTGAAGAAGGAAAAAAGAAAGAGAACATCACCATTTTGCAACATCTAATGAAATACTGGATCTACAATACAACATAGTCACCAATGGCAGCTGCTAAGACTCACAGGAAAGAACTTATCCTGGATAAACCAGGCACCTTAACACGTTGGTTACACCTGTATTGCAAAACATGACAGAAAGTACACCCATCATTGGCTTAAAAAACCCAATCCAGGCTCATCAAACCATCATTATATAATAGTATATTTACACAAGACACACAAGATGACTTGGTATACCACAGGGGGATGCAATCAGTAACACTTAGAAGGTTGTAAAGAGTAAAGAACAAAAAGAGGGACTTAAAATAAGATGTGAAGGGCAACTGCTCTAAGGGAAAAACTATAATTAAGAGTACGATTTATAAAACAAAGAAACAAAAAAATACTAAAGATGTGCACTGAAATACAGATAAAGTAGTATGGTGTGTAAGATTTACTTTGGAATAATTCAGTGCAGACAGGGCACAAGACATAAGGGTATGAATGAAATATGACTGCCCAGAAGTTGTCAATGTCCTTAAAATTTTCATAATGAAAAGTTACATCATGAAACTAAAAACAAAATAGAACAAAAATACACATGATAATCAAATGCAACTTTTAACCCCTAAATGGACTCTTAGCTTCAAAGGAGAAAAACAAGGTATTAAGGAGCTTCCTTTAATTTTTGTCAGTGGGATAATGGTATTGTAGATTTCTAATGATACCTTATCTTTTAGAATTACAAAACTAAGTAATTTCCAAACAATACAATATGCCTGAGATGTGCTATTCTCCCTCAAAAAATCTGAGAAGAGGGAGTTATGTATGTAACAAAATTTGCCATTAGTTTATGACAGGCAAAAGTGAGTGACTATGTCTATTATCCTCTTTTTTATTTTTTGGAGCTAGGGTCTTTACCACTGTGTAGTTCAAGTTGGCCTTGAACTCGTGACCCTTCTAAACTCTATTGTGCTGTTTGAACCGCTATGCAGTATATGCTTCAAATTTTTAATAGTTAAGTTTTTAAAAGATGACTGATTTTCAAAGTAGAAATGCTAAGTATGAAGATCTTATGAAAAATAAATGTCAAGATAACTCGAAAAAAATCAGTATTAAAAACCAGAAACAGATCTAACTGCACACGAACAATCAACATCTAAAGAAACAGCCCTTGCGTATGCTCTTTGACCATAATGGAAATAAATCCCCAAACAACTGGAAATATGAAAATATATGGAAATTTAAAGCATATGTAAACCCATTGGTTAATGAAATCATAAGGTAAAAAATACACTATTGAATAAAATTGTAACATCAGGTCTGTAGAATGCAAATAAAGCAGTGTTTATTTATTTATTTTTGGAGCTGGGGATTTAGCTCAGCGGCATAAGTGCCTGCTTTGCAAGCAGGCAGTCCTAAGTTCCATCCCCGGTACCGATAAAAATGAAAAAGACCAAAAAAAAAAATTTTTTTTTTAATTTATTTTTAAAGCAGTGTTTAAAAAGTTATAGCTTTTGTTGTTTTGGGATGAGGTTTTGCTATGCAGTTCAGGTTGGCCTTATCTCACGCTCTGATCTCACTCTTTAAATGCTCTCTTGTTGGGTGTGATTGCCCACACTTATAATCCCAAAACTTGGGAGGCTGAAGCAGGAAGATCACTGCTGTATTTGGGGCCATCCTGAGCTACACAGGGAAATCCCATTTCAAAAAAACAGAAGACAAAAAGAGTGCAGACACAGCTGAGTGTGAACTCCCTGAGTTCAATTCCCTGTACCCCCAAAAACGTGGAAATAGATAAAGAAAAAAAGATTCAAAGGCAAGGGGCTGCGGGTTTTAGCTCAGCGGCTTATGTGCCTGCTTGGCAAACACGAGGTTGTAAATTCAATCCCCGGCACCAAAAAAAAAAAAAAAAAAAAAAGATTCAAAAGCAAAATACATCTTTATATACTAATAAACACGCATTGAAAAATTTAAAAAACATTCTCAACAGTATAAAAATTAGGAAATACTATAAAACAATGATGAAACTGAAAATCTAAAACCTTGAGTGACGTGGGATGAAAATGTTAAGATATTTCCCAAGAAATGATCTAAAGGGGGCTGGGGATTTAGCTCAGCGGCATAAGCACCTGCCTTGCAAGCAGGCAGTCGTGAGTTCGATCCCTGGTACCGATAAAAAGGAAAAAGAAAAAAAAAAAAAAAAAGAGAGAGAGAGAAATGATCTAAAGATTTAATGCATGAGCCCAAGATGACTATAAAAATGTGGAAATGCTTTAATTTACAACTCTCAAACGACCATCCAATGAGGTTCAACAGTTTTTCATGTATTTGCTGTTTATTTTTCTTCTTCTGAGAAGTGTACATTCATTTCAAGATGCCTATTTTTGGACTGGATCTTTCAATCCAGGTGGGTCTGACTTTTTTCAGTTTTTTATATGGTCTGGATATAAGTCTTCTGTCTGAGGGACAACTGGCTAAAATTTTTTCCTATCCCATGAGTTGTCTTTTCATTCCACTGATGATTTCTTTTGTTGTACAAAAGCTTTTCACAATAAGGTGAGATCCCACTTAATGAGTCTATGTAGTTATTTCCCATGGGATCTGGGTTTTGTGCATTAAGTCTCTGTCTACAACTTTGTCTTCAAGATTTCTACTTATTTTCTCTTCCAGTAGATTTAATGTTTCTGTTTCAATATTGAATCTTTGATCCATTTTGGCTTAATCTGGTGATAAACATGATCTTGTTTTAATCCCTGGCATGTGTGGAGCAGATTTTCCAGCACTGTTTATTAAACAGGCTCTTTCTTTCATTGGACATATTTGGCCCCTTTGTCAAAACAACACTCAGGTTCCATTTCTCTCACTCTGGGAAGAGTGGCTATTATCAACAAATAAACCAATCATAAATGCTGGAGGGGCTGTACAGAAAAAAAAACTCTTCTCCACTGCTGGTGGGAGTGGAGTGCACTGCTGGTGCAATCAATGTGGTGATTCCTCAAAAAACTAGGACTAGAGGTCTCATTTGACCCAGCCATTTCCCTTCTGAGTATCTTCCTCAAAGAATTAAAAACATCACACCACAGCAATATATGTACACCCATGTTTGCAACAGCATAATTTGTAATAATTAAATTTTCAAAATAGCCCAAATATTCATCAACCAAGGAGTGAATATAAAAGATGTGTTTTTTTTTTTTTTTTTGCAGACAGGAAAACCTTTTATTTTAAACTACAAATAGTCAGCAGTGGCCACAACTATCCATGTTTCATTAAAATCACATGAAACAGATGTGGTCTTTTTATACAGTGGCATAGTATTCAGTCCTAAAAGATAACCTTGGGACATTTATAGGTAAA